CTTTACACCCAGCTCTACTTTGTTTTGAGTCTATTAGAGCACTATTTCACTTAAATTTTTTCTAAGCTCCTTTCTTCACCTAATTCTATTAGCTCTAGCTTTCCCTTTACATAGGGATACGCCTTACATTGCTCTGTACTTGGTCTCCCTCATTGCAATAAGTCTAAAAACCTATGTCAGACTTTTTTCTGACTGGGTTAAGGCACACTTTTCACTGACTACATTTTCCATACGATCATCGCTAGATTGTCTGTTTTCCCCACTGGAATGCAAATTCTGAAGGGTCAGGACTTCATAGTGAGCTGCACTTAAAACCATGGAGTTCTGTCTCTCTATTATCTATCTACCTATTTATCATCTATTTATCTATCTATTGGGTTGTTGTAAAAGTCATGACGTATTTTTCTATGCTTTTCTATGCCCAAGGACACATGTGTTCATCAAAGAGAGAGAAGAAAAAATTAAAAAAGGGAGAAAGCATCCCCCTCTCCTGGCCAATGGGACATTATCACACCACCACAATCCTTCTTCCTATATTTCTCCATCCTGTTGGGCTTAGGGCACGTGCACACATGCATCCAACATGTTTTTCAAGCTTCCAGGACCAGTAATCAAACCATAGTAGGCCATGTGGGATTCAACTCTCTTTAACTATTAGGCTATAGGGCTAACCCTCTTGCTACTTTTTATTTCTCACTCTCCATCTCTCTGGCGAGCACACATGCCCTATAGGAAAAAATCTCTCATATAACAAAGTTTCCAGGCCCATTTTCTAGTTTATGTCTATAGCCTCTCAATAAAAGAAGCCACAGTTATTAGAAGGAATGGCTGATCCATGCCTATTATGAAATGAGTACAAGGGAAAGCTGAGACATCTAGTCTCAGGAAACAGGAAGCTATCAAAGTCAATTACGTTGCTATCAAAAGGACATAGAAGCCAATCATTCTCCCTTTTCAGAACTACCTAAGAACAACAGAGAGCAAGAAACAACGTAATGATAGACTCCACCCTCAAACACCAGAAGTAAAAGATTCCCCCACCAAAATAAACAAATATAGTTATAAAGAAATACAAAGTTGTTAGGAAAACTCAGAGATGCCCACAACTATGAATCTCAGAAAAAGCCAGTGAAGAACACTTTCACCAACAAACATCAAAATCAAACAACATGGTAACCACAAAGGAAAACCAAACAAAGCCTAACATTGAAGTTTTACTACATTCCTGGCATTGTTGCCATGTCATTCATACTAAGTAGTATAAAAGGTATATCCTTGGTAAAAATTTAAGAATTCTTTGTTTGCAACATCAGAACTAAGCATATGAGCTAGAAGCAAGACTCTGTTCATCATGAAGTTTTAAGGAACTGTAAGGAGTTGAATAAGTAATCCAAAAGAAGGCAACTGGCAGCATTTTGGTGAGACAAAAAAGACCAGAGACCATGTGAATTGTGAGCCATTCTGCAGTAAATCTTTGTGGTTTGGTGGAATTAAAGAATAAAAGAATTATTCACATAGCTCTGAGTCATAATGAGAATTCCTAACCAAGATATGATCCTGCTCCTCCTCCCAGAATACTTGCCTCAAATGGCAGTTCCAGACAGTGTTCATCTCTTTCAGAGATAAGCACTAGTCAAAAAGAAACCATTTCAGGACACACAAAATATCTATACATTAAAGAAAATAAAGGACTAGAGAAACAAGAGGAACATAAAGAACACTTAGCCAAAGAAGGTAGAGAATATTAACAATAAAAAGCATTAAAAAATAAGAGAAAGAAAGGAAAGTACAGTGAAATAAAAGACAAAATATTAGTCTACAGAGCTCAGAAAGGCAGCAAAGGGAAAAAATAAAGCCAAAATAGAAATAAAGGTCAAACTGAAAGCACAAGAAGGAAAGACAATGTTTGAATGCACAGTAGTGGGCATACAGGTAGAGATAAAAGCAAACAGATCTTAGAGTGTTAAAGGAGAATTAGAGAAAATGCAGACATGGGAGACAGAGTGGATACGATATATGTATAACAAAGAGACAACATATGTATTTATATATATATGGAATATTTTAATATGTGAGTATATTTTATATGCATAAAATACACTCAGACAGACATAAATATAATTCACTTTTTAAGATACATTTCTATAATGCGAACTATACATGTACAAACTATCATTTTATCATACATGTGCACACAAACACACACACATGCACACACATACACACGCACATTATACTCGCCCTAGGAGAAGCATGGGAACACAACCAAGTAAAGTTACTTGAAGACACAATGAGGGAGAGACAGGGCAGACAGACCTATGGAAGGCATTAGAATCTCTGGGTGCAGTGTGGTCGTCATGTTTCTCCAGGATTGCCCTAACGAACAGGGAGATTGGGTTTATACATTGAAGAAATTTGACCCAATGGGACGGCAGATATGCTCAGTTCATCCTGCTCGCCCTACCCAGACAACAAATAACCAGGAGACAGAATCACCATCAAGAAACACCATGGCCTGTGCTCTGAGAGTCCCCGATATTTCACATCTCTTCTGCCTCCTGCTACCCTCAAAGCCTACCTAGCCACCCTCCTAACACCATGGCCTGTGCTCTGAGAGTCCCCGATATTTCACATCTCTTCTGCCGCCTGCTACCCTCAAAGACTCCCTAGCCACACTCCTTAATTTCTGAACTGGGAAGCCTTACCACTCCAGCTTTTGGGAACCCAGTCTCTGTAGCTCCTTTGTTTGTTTGTTTGTTTTTTTAATTTTTGAACTACTGTCAGGTTATTAAAGATAAAATTATTTGGGGGAAAAGAAGACACAATAAGGGACTGTTAACATTGCGTGGCTCCATATACAAGAAATGGATGGTTGGGGCACCAGCAGTTAGCGTAATGGCTATGTCACTGGACTCCCACGTACTCGACCGTGGTTCACATCCCGGATCCCCCCTGGGGGGTGATTTCTCGCTTTCTGTCTCTATGTCTCTCTCTCTCTGTCTGGCGAGTGCATGCGCCCTATAGCGAAAACCTCTCAAAAAAAAAAAAAAAGAAATGGGTGACTAGAAAACAGCCTAGAGTATATATTTTGTTTCTTAAGCATATTTTGTGGAAAAAATAAAGAACTTTTAAAAACGTATTATGTATTTAATTTGCAAATACACAAATCAGTGTCTAAGTAAAAATGTTCAGTATTTAAATAGGCATTCTACTTCATCTGCATTTGAAATGCTTGAGTATATAAGAGAATCTTATTAAGCTTCTAATTTTAAACATCAGTTTACAGGAAATACCAAGAATGCTAAATAAGACATTGTGAGTATGCACCATTAAAAAACAAAACAAAACAAAACAAAAAACAAACAAACAAACAAAACAGAGACTGAAAACTTGCAATGGATTATTACCCCGGTTTTCATAAGGAATTAATTGCAAGGAAATATGATAGAAGATTCAAAATTTCTAATGATTTAAAATACTTATTATTGTCCCAGACTTCATGGCATATACTGTTGAACACTGCTTCACAGGCTAGGACTATATGGAAGGCCTGGGTTCAATTCTTGCTCCAACCCAAAGTCTAAGCATGATGCCATGTGCCTATAATTTCAATGAAGGCTGAGGTACTAGGATCACCACATAGTGAGAGCCTGTCCAGAAAAGAGAGAGAAAGGGAGCGAGAGGAAACATATTAAACATATTGTTTAAAAGATATAGAAATATATCTCTGAAATACAGCATGTATAGAACTTGTTTGGGTCCTGATTTGGACAACTAAATGATAAAAATGAATAAGTGTAGAGATACTTGGAGATACTTGGTTTTTCTTTTCTAAAATTATTTTTATTTTTTACCTTTGTTTTCTTTTCTTTTTTTACATTTAATCACTGTACATCTTTGTAGCATACAAAATGAATCTTCCCAGCATGCATACACTGCATATTAGCCCAGTCAAAGATATTACCACGGGACCAGCAGTTAGCGTAATGGCTATGTCGTCGGACTCCCATGTAGCCGACCATGGTTCAAGTTCTGGACCCAGTGGCTTAAACTCACTCTGGGCGCGTGTGCGTGCGTGCCCAAGATCTTGAGAGAAGAATGGAGAAGAAGGGATTGTGGTGTGGCTATCACACCTGGGGGGTGATTTCTCGCTTTCTGTCTCTCTGTCTCTGTCTCTCTGGCGAGTGCACGTGCCCTATAGCAAAAACCTCTCCAAAAAAAAAAAAGTTATAGAAAAGGTAGGGATATTTGAAGATTGAATAGATTCTTGCTGTTAAAGAGAAATATTTAAGATATAAAATGGTATTTTGATTATATTTTTAAGGGTTCTATCATTTAGATATTAATATTGACTAGTTTTATGAAGAAATAATATGATTTATCTGATTTGCTTTCTGACCATTTCAGGTTGGTGAGGTAATTGATTGGAAGTATGGAGGAAATGACTAGTCATGAGATAAAAATTATTAACTTTGGGAAATAACTATATAGGAGATATTACATTTTAAATATACTTCTCTACTTGTTTGAAATTTTATAAAAGGAAAAACTACATTTAAGATTTATAATCATTGAGGAGAAATGGCAGTCTTTCTGTTAAGGCATATAAAATAGGTGATTTTAAATCTCCAGTATCTCTCCTGAGAGAAAAGTCCTGGTTAGAAAGAGAAGACCTCTCAGTACCTTCTCATACAGAGAAGAACGTGCAGAATCTCTAAGAGAGTGACTAAATCTTAGCTTCAATGAATTAAGAATAGTCTCATTGTATTGAGATCAAGTCAAACCTGGAGGCAGAAGAATTGCTCTGACTAAAGGAAGCCAAAAATACAATCTCTGTATTAAATAACTGTTTTAATAATCCAGTTGTGACCTCATTGTTTGTAAAGCCCTGCCCTTCCCAATCTGCAAGGTCACCTTCCAGAACTGAGCCCAGCCCATTTTCTCCATATATTAACTGCCGCCTGCAAGGAAGTCATCTCATAGTTCTCTCAGTTCTGCCCTCCAGCCTCTCAGCTTCCTCCAGCCTGCTCATCTCAGCAAGCATGACTAGCAAATCCACCATCAGGACCCACAGCAGCAGCCGGGGCTACAGTGCCAGCTCAGCCAGGGTCCCCGGGGCCCACCGCTCTGGCTTCAGCAGCGTCTCCATGTCCCGCTCCAGGGGCAGTGGTGGCCTTGGTGGAGTGTGCGGAGGAGCTGGCTTTGGCAGTTCTGTCTTGGGGGCGTCCAAGAGGATCTCCAGCGGAGGGGGCAGCTGTGCCATCAGTGGCGGATATGGTGGCAGAGTTGGAGGCAGTTTTGGCTTTGGAGGAGGAGCTGGGAGTGGATTTGGTTTTGGCAGTAGAGCTGGTAGTGGCTTTGGGCTCGGTGGTGGAGCTGGCTTCCCTGTGTGTCCCCCTGGAGGCATCCAAGAGGTCACCGTCAACCAGAACCTCCTCACTCCTCTGAACCTGCAAATCGACCCCACCATCCAGCAGGTGAGGACCCAAGACCCTCAACAACAAGTTCGCCTCCTTCATCGACAAGGTGAGACATGAGCCCTGCCCTCCACAGGGGAACCCACACCAAAGAAACCATAAACTTCCTACCAGGGCAGATCAGGAAAGAGGGATGCCATAGGGATGCCAGATTGGCCCCATGTCAACAGTGGGCAGCAGAAGATGGAAATGGTTTAGAATTGCTGAGGTTCTTAGACCCCTCATTCACCTAGAGAGAACTCTCCACTTTTGATGACCTAGAAGCACAGATAAAGCAATGGAAGAAGAAAATGTATACACTCTTTCTTCTGAATGGCCTAAGAGAAAAATGCTCCAGAGCTTTGGGAAAAGGAAAAATAAAATAAGAAAATGGACACTGTGGCTGGTAGAGAAAAAATTTTAAAAAATCAGAAACATTTATGTAATCTGTAGAAAAACTAATATATTCTAGGACCAGAGAATGAAGACGAAGACAGGATATTGTGGACGAGACTCGTGCACTAAATAGGAAGGTACAGTGAAATCTAATCACTAGGCCACACTTAGCCTACCTGTTAACTTAGATTCTACGTCAAATAAAAACTCATCATACAATAGAAGGTTAACTACTATTTTAAACCTAGATTTATGCTTATATTTTTCAAGAGACGGAGAAGAAATGTTGAAAGTCATTGATTTGGCTCTAAAATTGTACCTAATTGGACCATGGAAGAAATCTGGAGATCAGAGGGCTACAAAGAAAAAGGACTTGGGGAGAAAAAGGGCTCCTGGCCTATGCCTGTGTGTCATGCAGACGCCCATGCCTGCTTGGCAACCCGATGACACAGACACTTCTTCTTTTCTTCTTCTCTAACAAGTGACCATCTCATCTCCTCTCCAGGTGCGGCTCCTAGAACAGCAGAACAAGGTCCTGGAAACCAAGTGGACCCTGCTCCAGGAGCAGGGCACCAGGACTGTGAGGCAGAACCTCGAGCCTTTGTTTGAGCAGTACATCAGCAACCTCAGGAGGCAGCTGGACAGCATCTTGGGGGAGAGAGGCCACCTGGACTCGGAGCTCAGAAACATGCAGGATGTGGTGGAGGACTTCAAGAACAAGTGAGTTACAGAAGAGGAATGGGCTCAGTTTTCTGAAGTACACACCTCAAGACTATCTGGTGGCCTGGTCTGGATATAGGCTTCGTTTCTTAGCAAAACATGTTCATGGAAATGAAAATCAAAATTATAAGAAAAAAACCTGTAAAAACAAAGAAGGGTTATAGAAAAATGTGGGAGACAGAAAAGGTAAAAAATGTAGTAACAATAAAAATGATCTTTTAGGTTCTCTGTGGCAGAAAGATAAATTTGAATGCATTCAAATGACAGAAGCTACTAAATTTCAGACTCCCTTTTATGTGTCAGCTACCCACTGACTCAGGTGTATCTCATACCTTTTTTCCTGTAGATATGAAGATGAAATCAACAAGCGCACAGCAGCAGAGAATGAATTTGTGACTCTGAAGAAGGTAAATTAATTCAGTTACCACAAAGGCTCCCGTTTCTGTGCTGAGGGCAAGCATGTGGCGTCCTGCCCCCATCTGAAAGGAGGATTTGTAGGGAGACTTGAAGACAGGATACTGGGAAGCTGGGCTCAGCTGACTGAAGTTGTTGCCTCTCCTCAGGATGTGGATGCTGGCTACATGAATAAGGTTGAACTACAAGCCAAGGTGGATTCTCTTTCAGATGAGAACAATTTCCTGAGAGCCTTCTTTGAAGCAGTAAGAATCTCCATTCACTTTTACTTAATGGGATTCTGCAGGGGGTAGAATATTCTTGGTGTTAAATACTTCTAAGGATGCCCTAGGCGCAGGTCTTTTTGTTTCCTTGTTTTTAGTTTGCTGTAGGGTGTTTGTGCTCCTGGAAAGAGCAGAGTGAGTGAAGCACAGTGAGAAATCATCCCCCCAGGGGCGGGGTGGGAAGGATGGCCACACTGTAATCTCTTCTTTTCTTGGGATTTTGGGCATACACACACATGTACCCAGCATGATTTTCCAGCTGCTGGGGCCAGGACTCCAACCAAACAGTTGGCCATGTGTTATCCAGCCACCCTAACCCCCATGCCACCTGGCTGGCCCCCAGGCAAAGGTCTTATGATCTTCATTCTGCAGGAACTATCTCAAACGCAAACCCACATCTCAGACACCTCCGTCGTCCTCTCCATGGACAACAACCGTGACCTTGACCTGGACAGCATCATCGCCGAAGTCAAAGCCAAATATGAGGAGATTGCTCAGAGGAGCCGGGCTGAGGCTGAGTCCTGGTACCAGATCAAAGTGAGTACTGAGTTGGTAGCAGCTGAGGAATTCCTGTGCTTCACTCTAAAACCAGAGGCTATGTACTTAAGTAGATAAATCTATATAACAAAATTTAGGGTCCTTTCATAGAGCATATACCCTGTACTATTAGTGTAGACATTTACAGAATTTATGTTCAAGTCTACAAGCAAAAGAACTCAAATGCAGGCAGAGTGTTACCATATATAATCTTTGATTTTATTTACCCTAAAAATAGAATATTAGAGGGACCAGCAGTTAGCGTAATGGCTATGTCGCTGGACTCCCATGTAGTCGACCGCGGTTCGAGTCCCAGACCCGGTGGCTTAAACTCACGCCGGGCATGTGTGCGTGTGTGCCCAAGATCCTGAGAGGAGAATGGTGGAGAAGGGATTGTGGCGTGGCCATCCCCTCTGGGGAGGTGATTTCTTGCTTTCTATCTCTCTGTCTCTCTCTGTCCTTCTGGCGAGCGCACGCGCCCAATAAGAAAAAAACCTCTCCAAAAAAAAGGAAAAAAAATAGAATAATATTAGAAAATGGCACAGAACATTACTAGTCCCTGAGAGACTAAGTGGGCAGTGTTCCAATAACAAGGGTGGTTTGAACTTTAGTTTCCCAGTATCTATCAGTCTTGTAATATGAACTTTTTATAAAAACCTTTATGAGAAGCCATTAGGTTCAAGTTTATTACTTACCAAATTCAGAGATTTAATTCATTATTCTCATGTGAATACCCATGTACACTGCCTCTCTCCCACTCACCTGCAGTATGAAGAGCTGCAGGTCACAGCAGCCAGACATGGGGACGACCTGCTCAACACCAAGCAGGAGATTGCTGAGATCAATCGCATGATCCAGAGACTGAGATCTGAGATCGACCACATCAAGAAACAGGTACAGTGTAGGAAATGATGGAGAAAGTCATTTTCTTCCAGACCATCAGATAGTCATCAACCATCATCTGGGAAAACTCTTGGAAACGATGGAAGAGCATAGATGAACGGACATGCAGGTCTTACCCTCAGTGAAAACCCTCTGGTTAGAAGTCAAGGATGCTACCCCAGAGTACAGTACAATCAAATGGAAAGAAGCAATCATGACTTCTCAAGGCCATGAAAATAGTCTAGAAATATTGAAAAGGGTTTACTTTGGGTCAGCCCCATGGCCTAGTAGTTAAGGGAGCTGGATCCCACATGGCTGACCACAGTTTGAATCCTGGCCCTGATGGCTTGAAAAATATGCCAGATGCATGTGTACTTGTCCCCCAAATCCTGACAGGATATAAAAATGGGGAAGAAGGGTTTGTGGCATGACTCCACCCATTAGGGGTTGCTCTTCCCCTCTTCCTCTTTTGCAATATCTCTCTCTGAGAGTGCACATGCCCTATAGCAATAAAACAAAAAAGAAAGAGAGAAAAGAAAAGGGTTTACTCTACAATTCAATCACACTGGAAATTGCAAAGGACTAAGTTGGGAAAGAAAAGTGGAATAAATGCAAGAGACGAAGAAATAGGTAAATGACTCTGAGGTGAGGAGGCAAGGTCTCAGAGTAATCTCATTTGATGTTTGCCACCTCAGATGAGGATATTGGTAATTGGTAATTTGATATGTTATTCTGGCATGCATGTGTGACCATCAAAAATGGTTCTAGCTGGGGACCAGCAATTGGCATAATGGCTATGTCATTAGACTCCCATGTCATAGACTATGGTTCGAGTCCCGGACTTGGTGGCTTAAACTCATGCCTGGCACATGTACGTACATGCCCAAAATCCTAAGAGGAGAATGGAGGGGAAGGGTTTATGGTGTAGCCATCCCCCGTGGGGGGTGATTTCTCACTTTCTGTCTCTCTGTTTCTCTCTGTCTTTCTGGCGAGTGCATG